TGATTGCTGCAACTAAACTAAAAATATGCAGAAAATAAACTATCATCGAGTTTTTAAAGTTTTACCTGAAACTGACAAACAGCTAACAAAACCACATAAACGATCTAAAGTCATTGCCATGCCTGCCTGAATGAAAAGAATGTCTCGGTGGCTTCTGAATTTTAATTGTTAAATCACCATGATCATCTTGTTAGGATTTACATATCTGAACCGGGGAAGAGGAAAGCCGATAAGACAGTATAATCATATGACGAACCACGGCTTCTCGTCCGGTTACCAGTCCAGGTCGGGTATGGGATTAGTTAGCCAGTTTTCGGCAGCGTGGACTTGATGGTGGAGGAAGCCGTAATCGACCAGAAGTTACATGAATCACCCTACGGCGACACGGCGCCCAGCAATCCTCTCGCATAACAGGTGTGGTGGTGAGCGTATTTCTAACGTCTAGCATGATGCGCCACACCGTCGAGCCTTTTTTGATAAGCCAATGCTACGAGTTACACATGTCGATGATTAGGGAAACATTCATTAAGTCCTCTTATCGACTTTTCTCTTCCTCGGGGAAAAAATATGAAAACCCGGTCGTGAAAGAATATCACACTACACATGCGCATTTTTAGCGTTGCCACAATTCTCAAACAAGTGTAATCTTTTATGACAACATTACAGATTGCGCCAATGCTGCAGCCAATATATACATTTGACTCTGATAAATTTAAAAATTAGCTATTTGTGTAAATTTAATGCTAGTGAAAGTAAATGTACCACGCTGTCTGGCATATTCGAAAACCATACTGCACATAGAAATGATAATTTATTACGATCACTTATTTCTTAGAGTTTTAGACATGCTGTCGTCTGGCTGGGTCTGTTGTTGTGCTTTTTCAGACAGAATTTCTTTTTGCCACTGTTTTTAATAATTTATCCTATAAAAGAATATCTTCCCTATCATATTTTGAATACCGGTATATCTGATTTGGCCTGACTAATTCCGGTTAATAAAACATGGCACCGGGCTTTGACTCAATTTCGATCGAGGTTGGGATTTGCTCGGAGCTTTGGTCAGCGTTCGTTCGACGATAGAGCATGGTAAGTATGAAGACAAATTTGTGAGTCCTCTGCCAGACAATTGGCTTCGAAAAAATTCGATAAACATATACGGTACGTTGAAGATGGTTATGACTCTATTTGAGGAGGGATTTCTGGGATCGAACCGTCTCTGTGTTCATAAGTATAAGTTTATTTCGACCCCATACAGCAACAGCTGTACAGCCATAATCATCAATAGACGATAAAATAAGTGATAAAAACAAAATAAATAAAACTGATTATAGAATTGGGAAAGCAAACGAAACCTCAAGTAAAGTGTACAGGATTTAGGTGGGAAGGTAGACTAATGATAAAAGAAGTAGTAAATTGGTACAGCAGTACCGGAACCGTTCCAAAGGTTGCAGTACGGTACCGGTGCTGAAATACAGAAACAGGCCAACTCTCAGACTCTTGGCAATGGTATGGATGTAATGGATCGGCCATTTTTTTCGATATAGACTAGTTAGCTTTTCAGAGTGTTTTAAAAAAAACAAATCTGCGAATGTTGAAATTATTTTTTGCATGAACAGGATGGAGGAATCATCCAACTGTCTAAGTGATACAGTGATATTTTCCTCATTAAACTGGAGCCATGCTCGTCCCCACCCCCTCGAGTAGAAACTGGAACTATTTAGCAGCCAAACTAGCTCCAATAATGTTGAATTTACCTGATTGTGCTACCATCAGAAGTGATGACAGCAAGTTTGTAAAATATTACAGTATTGTTACTGAAACCTGTATTATAAATATGTTGGAGCTGTCACTGCACGGCCAGGAGGCTTTCTCAGACTTTTCTGATCATGATATGGCTTAAAACTGTCTGAGTTATGACTTTATGTCTTATTGTTGCCCCGGGACAGTGGTAGTTGTTTGAAAATAATAATGTTCAAGTACTTGTATATTCATAGGACTATTGGTATTACAGTTGTGACCATTAACCTGCCAGTACAGGTACAGCCCTAACTTATGCCCCATTGGGAGTATTTATAAAATGGGACCGTTGAACAAGATGTTGAGGTCCATCAGCTAAACATGATAGACTTAATGATGTAAAGAATATATGGTAGAACTATCATGAGGTTCAATTTTATGAAATTGTTCATGTTTGAAGTATTTTTGGGTGAAAGCACACACACAGTCACACATTATTTTTGTGTGATAGCATAACAACACGGCACGCCAGCTATTATATCGGTATTGCAAGTAATCTGAGTTTATGGGCACATATTCATCACAAAACAATTATATTGTAAAAACTAAGGATAATTTAATGAATTTGCTCAAATTGCTTCTCTTTCTAAATATAGAGTCAAGACGACTCACAGGCAGGGATGGCCATTTCCGAATACTAAACTATTCCGAATACATTCTAAAATAATGTTTTCGAATCTGGAATTCCGAATACATTCTAAAATCGAAAATAACACATTTTTGTTTTAGTTGATTAAAACCCAGTAAATTAGGAAATAAGCTTCAATAGAAATATCTGAATGAAGCCACAGACCAACAGTATATGTACACAAAGTAATTGATAGTTTATAGCTATTAATAAAAAAATAATAGCAACTTGTGACACAGTCAATTTATTAAAATTATTCACTTTGTACAAATGACCATGTGAAAAGATAGCCAAGGAGTTGTCTGACGCTTTCTATCATTGGTACCATGATATTACGATAATAGTCGAGTCTATTGACAAAAATACTACTTGTATTCAGATAATTGTGTATATTTTCTGAGAGTAATAAAATTTATTGGCAATACAGGCAACAACAATTGAAAATCCATTATGCCTTTAAAAATTCTAATATTTTAGCCTAGAGTATTCTACTACCTACCAGTATATTTGTATATAAATTTATGTGAACCATATTGTTATTATGTGTAACATATTGTTGTGTTTGGAGTTAGAAATAAATTAGTAGAGAATAGATGACCACCACTGCCAGCGCGCAGCCAGGAATTTTAAAATCGGAAATTCTCATTGACGCCTGTAACACCCACCGCGATTCCGCGCTCGTTAAAAGAGCCGTCTTGTCAGCGTATAATGATCAATCTGTTACGCAAAATATTCAATCCATGACAACTACGAGATTCTAAAATATCTTTATATATTAATTTAATGTGTCCAACATAACTCGCGGTTGCTTCTTCTTACGTCAAAATAAAAACATTACTATTCGGTCCACGGCAATCTGTGACCTAAAATTACGAGATAAACTGCTTGATGTATTTAATTCTAATATGTATTTTTGCAATCTTGCCAACTCGTTATCGCCGTTAGAAAAATCTCAAATATTTATATAAAATCCTGTTAAGTGTAGAGAATAATCATTTCATACAATGAATATACATATAAAGTTTAGCAGTAAATTAAATATACATATTCATCGCCGCGATTATGCCACCTGTCAAAAGAGTCGACTTTTACAACAAATAATATAAAAACGAATATATATTTTTCTGTTGTGCAAAGTGATGAATTCGTGACCGACACGGACATATTTAAAATGTCTTGCTCTTATTAAATTAATTGTCTTCAATTTAACCTGCGGTTGCGTCGACAAAATAAAATCCTCACCACTCTTATATACCATTGCAATCAGCGGCCATAAAAACAAAAACGTGAGGTAAACTGTGCGATTAAATATTGTTTTTATCCGTATTTTGCGAATTCGGCAAATATTTAGATGTACTTGTTAACAGTGACTCCGCTCGATCGAAATGCTCAGAGTAAAATTTATTTCATCACAATAAAATTGATTGAATATACTTTAGATTAATTATATTATATTCATCCTCACAACCAGGGAAAAAGTCGCGTTTCAAACCTTGTATCGTGTTAACACGAAAATATTCGACGGCAATTTAAAGTAATGGATAATCAGGCAAATCCCGCCCTAGTGACGATATGTTTCTAAACGCCGACCAAACATAATGTGTGCCAGAGGCAGGCACACGAAATTTTGCGATTTTCACTGTCTAGAAAAGCGTTTTTTAAATTTTCGCGGGCCTCAATAAACCTTATGTTGTTTACGGTTTTATTTTCAGTATTTTAAATTGCCGCTTTTCAATCAAAAAGTTGCGTTGTCTCTAGAAACTCGCCGCCGATAAACGTATTTACTAGATTCACAATTCCGTGTGCCTACAAAAATAAAATAAATGTTATCGTGGAACAAATTTGTGGAAAATTTTCGTTTTAGAGAAAATAACACAATCGTAAAGGCGTTTACGGGCCTAAATAACACGTTACGCTGAAGAGTGATAAAAACAATCACGCACAAGTTTCTATCGAGAATGTTTTCATTCAACGGAAACGTCTTAAAAGCGGCGTCGAAAATGTGTGACGTCACACAAATATCCGATATTCTTATGAACGTGAATTCCGATATTCGAATGACGAGATATTCGAATACATTCGAATACTTTATTCGAATTGGCCATCCCTGCTCACAGGTCATCTAAATTTGAGTCAAATTTCAAAGCCAAACCCCACTTTGCTGTCAATTGAGTATGTGTCTTTGTAATTTAGTTACCTACAGTCGGTTTGTGAATTGGTGATTTGCGTCTCTTCAACCTGACCTCTTTTTGGTAACTATTGTTAAAAAAGATCGTGAGAGCATTTCACAAAATACCCGACTTGGTTGTTGGCATTCTGAAAACTAAAATAACAGCATTTGATAAATATATCATTCACTTATTTTAACAAGCTGACTGAATTTCTCTATACTTAGTGATGGTCAATGTAAAATAAATCACTATCCTAAAACACTTACCGGTAAATCGAATCCACAATTCCTGATCCTATTCTATTTTTGAAGATATACAGGGTGTCTATAGAGTCTCTTTTCATAATTTCAATTTTGTTATGGGGTCAGTTCTTGATATATTTTAACAAGGTTTGTTGTTTTTTGATCAGCAATTGTTTGAGTATTTTTACTTCATTCAATACATCATGAAGGGCCAAAACAATAAATGGTATCGATAAATTATTCCTTTGCAATTTGGAAAAAATTTAAGACTTTATGGAGATCCTGTATATTCAAACTACGCCCAATATACAATTATATCAAAAATGCTTCTAAGCGTATTATTTAGAGAAGTATATTCAAGCACAGCAAAGTTGGTGTCGGCAGAACGATGTAGTTTGTGTCGTTGCAATTCACATTGCCTATTATGCCCTGATAAATTTCCTTTCCTTTATACATATGTACATACGCTAGTAGTGTTTTTAGCAAACAATGCATTGATGATTTGAAACGTCAAAAATTAAATCGTTTGTGATTTATATATACACAAAATATTGGACGGTCCCGAAGTATGTGAACCGAGATGGCGGACACCGGAATGTAGTATGTGTACCAGGTTAGGTTTAGGCCATAATTTTATTCCAATTTTCTTTATTTTATTTTTATTACGAGTTTAGGGACAAGGTAAGCGACTCTCGTAGTACCTGTACCTAAAATTATGGCCTAGTGTGGTACACATACGACATTTCGGTGTCTGCTATCTTGGTTCACATACTTTGGGAGTACCACATATTGTAATACTGACATTTACAGCAACTGTCACAACCACATTTTTAAAATTTTCAGGGAAATGCCCCCCCCTCTCCAGATTTTGACAATAAATTAGTACTTTTGTTTATTTATTTGCAACTTTTTGCTATTTGCCTTAATTGTTTTTTTGCTTTTATATTGTTTAATTGCAATTTTTATTATTGTTTATTTGTAAATTTTTCATTTTTTTGCACATTTTTTATTTCAAGCTTTAGTTAACATACCCTAAATATTTGGGTATTTTTGAGAACATTTTCAAAGTATTTTTGAAGATTTTGACGTTTTTTCGGATTTTTTGAAGCCCCCCTTTTTGCTTCATTCTTGAGGATATTTTTTCGAATTTTTCGTTTTGATTTTTGAGTGAAAAAAAACCTCCCTAACAATGACTGAAGAGGCTGAAAGCATTAACAAAACCAACTTAATAATTAACTATCTTCCTCAATGTCTGTCAGATGAGGAATTCTACAGCCTATTCACCACGATAGGACCAGTGTATTCAGCTCGAATCATTCGGGAACGATCAACCGGTTATAGCTATGGGTACGGATTCGTGAAGTACCAGAACCCTGATCATGCTGCCACAGCTATAGAACAACTCAATGGATTCACTTTGTTGAATAAGCAAATTAAAGTTGCGTATTCGCTTCCGTCTGGGCACGACAATAAAAATATCAATGTCTATGTGAAAGGCCTCCCGGCTAATACAACGAATGATACAATGCGAGAGCTGTTTAAATCTTACGGCGAAATTATCGAATGTCGAGCAATTCCTGACAAAATCACTGGACTTTGCCAAGGAATTGGGTTCGTTTTATTCTCGAAAAAAGAACAGGCAGAGAATGCTATTTCAGCATTGAATGGAACAAAGGTTGAAGGGGGCGCCGAACCTCTTCTCGTGAAATTCGCGAAAAATGATCAAAAGAACCAGAAGCTGGCGCCACAGGGTCCAAGAAATGGCGGGAACAACTTTGCGGGTGGGAATTACGCGAGTGGGTTTGGTGGTAACAACTACACAGGAGGGTATGGTTCATATGGGAATTACGCCAACTACGGGTCCAGTAATTATGGAGCAACCAATTACGTTGGCTGGGAGAATTCTATGTCTATGATGAGAGCAGGGGGCATGATGCAAGGGGGTGGGCCAATACGGGGAGGGATCGGGGCCAGAGGACGCAACATGAATCGATACTCCCCAATGACTGGCCCGAGATTCGGATTCAATGGACAACAACAACCACAGTTGGGACAGACAGCGGGGGCTGCATCGCCTGACGGATTTATTGTGTTTGTTTACGGAATCGGGCCACACATGAATGAAGATATGCTTTGGCAAATGTGCAGTCCATTTGGAGATGTCAAACGGGTCAATGTGATTCGCGACCACTCGAAAAACCAGGGAAAGGGATACGGCTTTGTAACGTTCGGGACATTGCAGGAAGCGTCCTACTGCATCAACCAACTGAATGGTTCACCTTATGAAGGAAAACAACTACAGGTGTCTCTGAAAACACAGAAACCCAATTAGTGCACCGACGAAAAACTCTTGCCGAAGCGACTTATAAATTAATTGTGCTCTGAGCTCTGATTTATCCACACTTTGGACCAAATTTATTGCCATACATGGTTCTTAAACTTTCCTAATCCTTCTGAAGACTCTAAACATATTGAGACCCCGTTTCTAAATCGGTTTCTATGGTTACTTTGTGTGCTACTACATTTAATTTAATAATAAGAAAGTCAACAAATGAAGGCCAAAGAATTAAACAAATCTTATTAAAATTAGCGCCAGATTAGGAACCTGTATCTACAATTCCTTTTGTATCAGAAAATCCACATGCATATAAAGCGAGGGCTATTTTGAATGAAGTGAATCTGGAGTTTTGCTGGACACTAACATAAATGTGTTTCTGTAACTGCGGGCCAATCAGTAGGGATGCGACAAGATTCGGACTCGTGCTCGGATTCGTGGCCGAATCTCTCGTAATTTGATACTCGGATTCGGCCCGAGTCTTTGATGATTTTCCCCGAGTCCGGGATATCATACGTCACGCGATAGTCAAGCGCAGACTGGTGGCGGATTCGACGAGAAATTCAACTTTTTTGTTCTGTTTTGCCACGAGACTGTCCAGTCTATTGTCTCTACGGTGATATTAAAACTAGGCGCCAAAACTACAAATTCACGACGCCGTAAGAACAAAAAAATGTCAGCGAAAGTCAGCTGAATACATTCCAGTGTTGCGTGTGTAGCTTGCCTTCCAGTGCCAGGCGTCCTTTAGTGAATGTTTACCACGTCCTATTTCAAGCATATACTTGATAATCCTCGAACAGTGATTAATCCGTAATCAGCGGTATCCTTGTCGCGCTGTTCGCCTTTTATCGTTCCATAAATGATCTAGCTATTTCCGGAGAAAAACAAATGTTAGAAATAAAACGATAAAATAGTGAAAATTACGGTTCTTTTAAGAGAAATGTACAACTCTCAGATGTCAGTGGCGTTACAATCGTATATGTGTACAAAAACAATCTCGCAAGTCGCATCGATTAAATGTGCATAAATTTGGAAACTATTACTCGTGGTAATTGAATGTTAATCGGGCCGACTTTTTATTTTTATTCAATAATTATTTAAATACACCGCGATTAGTGACGGGCAAAATCGAATTTTTCCTGATCGAATAATTCGACTACCGTATTTCTTTTAATTTACCGATAGTAGAAAATTACTAGAAGACTGGAGACTCGATAACAACGCGCCGTCTTTACTTCGTTTTTTATTATAGCATCTCGGTATGTGTCATACAGCCGTAACTTAGCATATAACACATTTCGCCTTTTGCGTCTCTCTTATTGAATCAAAATCAACAATTACACATTTTTATTTTCCGCGGATTCGACAATAGCTATTGATGGTTTTCAAACGAAGAATAGCTAGCTATTTTGTTACGATATATATATAAGACGCATTTATTCGATGCTTCCACAGTTGGCAATTCTTTATTAATATCTCAATTATCACGGAGATGGGCGTCTGTATCAGCGCCGACTAAAAAAGATAACATATGAGTCAATATTTCCCATAAAAAATTTGTTCCAAACGTGTGGGTTATGGCCCGTATTTATCGTGACAGGACACGAGCGCGGCGTCTTCAGCAGTCGACGCGGCGGTCGATCAGAGTACGTAACAAAGTATTCCTTCGACGGGGAATATGACCTATTTATTCTAATTTAAAATAGTCGCTCAGAGAATGATTGTCTCGAAAGCAATAGTGTTTATGTGCAACGTTTTTAAATTACATAGTCTTTTCATACAGAATGTTTAATTTACGGCCAATATACGAGAACAACAGCATCACTTCAGGTATTTGTTTCGTAGCTATGTAAAAGTATTGGACTCGGGACTCGGACACGAGTCCAGCACAAATACTCGGGATTCGGCCGAGCCGAACCTTTTTGGATTCGTCGCATCCCTACCAATCAGGCTATTAAACACTTAATGTTTTTAATTTTTTGCGTTCTAGAATCTGCCAATTGTTACGCTTGTATCAGAGTGTAAGCATATGTATATTCATAACAGTTCAATTATACCAGTATATTGATTTTATGTACCGGTCCCTTTTGGACGCAACCTTCTCTTGGCCTGCGAATATCATTCTGCTTCTAATTTTGGCCCCCTGTCAATCAACTTTGTGAAACACTGCTGTGACCTATATAATCGTGATAGTGTCCTTGAAGCAAGAATGCTGTAGCAATGTGAAGATAGGCCTATCGATTAAAATAAATAAGATAAAATATGGCCTAACCTGGTACACATGCTACGGGAGTACCGAAATTGGTGTCTTTTATTAAGCTGCAAGCTAATCATATATTGAAGCAATACTCGCCATAGCGTTTCCAAAAAGTACGAGGAGTTTTTCCTGATTTTCTCCCAAATTTTTTTTCATGAGTCTCCTTCCGGGTTAAATCCCTGGAGTTTTCAATCTATTTAGGATTCCAAATTTGTTAAAAAAATATTGAAATACCAATGGTTATCGTCCCATAATTATGCTTTGCGCGCACCAGAGGTTTTGATGTTGGTAATTTTAGGATATGGGCTACTTTTATAATACTTATAATCAGAAAAATAAATTATTTTCGAATAGCTATCGACAGTTTATTGCAAATTATCGCTGAACAATTTTGGACAAACCTTGCTAAATTGTGTCTCTTTAGTTTCAGAAAACTGTAAAATGTGTGTTTTTTGTTGAAAATGACCCAATTGACAATGTACCTGAACATAGAATGTATTCAGAATGATTTTATCTGTCTTTGCTGTAAATGCTTCGTTATTTTGGACATTATTTGGTCCAAAATTTGTTGTTTTGGTGCATTTAATTATTCTACAGTGTATTAAAACTCTTCTTTATACTTGAAGCTGGTGTTGATTCAGTGTTTGTCATGGAAATCAAAGAGGTTTTCAAGGAGTTGTTTAAATGCCTGCTGTTAGGGGACTCAAAGTTATGGGCATCTACGAAAATTTTAAGACCTACTGAAACTGTACTAAGCCATGGTGATGCATTACATGCAGTCAGAAGTAAATTAAACCCATCAAGGGGGCTTGCAAAAAATGTTCATTCTTGGGCGCTATAGAAGTACCATGTGTACCAATATGGAGAAAACTAATTTTGTTTGCCTTCTTTACATCAAGTTGTGAATAGGACTGAAACCTATGGGCAGGAGTATATTCACTTGGCCAATGCAGACAGTCCCCGAACTCGTAATAGAATTAGAATAAGGAAAATCGGAATAAAATCATGGTCTAACCTGCTACACACACTACCGGAGCAACCATCTATTCAAATGAAGTGGGCGCATGTCAGTGTAGAATAGCTTATATTTTACGTAAGCGTCAGTTCTTTCGGTAGACACCTAGCTGGTTGTTACGACCTACATTATGCATACTGTTGTACCCCAAAAATAAGACTAATTCTTATTTCAATTTTTTAAAGAAAAATAACACTAGGGCTTTTTTTTGGAAGGATGTCTTATTTTGATTTATCAAAAACAAAATTACGAAGTAGAGAATAAGATTTTTAAATAGACAAAAACCAATATCCATCTACTTATAATAATAGGTTTTAATTAAAAAAAATGCTAAACGTATATTATTCAAAAATGACTAGCTTTAAGCACTATCGACTAGGTCTAGGGGGAAGGCTTATATTGAAACCCGTTTCTAAAATTCAGGCAAGTGGTCTCGTCTTCAGGAAAACATGGCAGTTTATTCACATCTTTCGTTGGACCAGTGGTTCTCAAACTTTTTAACCCACCTTTTTACAATTTGTCAAATCTCGCGCCCCTCCTCAAAAATAACTAGCTAACAATAAGCTACAAACGAAATATCGGTCAGAGACCGAAGACTTATCGATTGAAAGTTAGGGGATCCTCCAAAACAGCACTTGTGTCCCATCACTAATTAATTAATAACTCGCTAATTATACGACATTATTCACCCAAAATCAATAGGCTTCTGATCCGAGATAAGATGAATGCACATGCAACATCTGGAGAAAATTCAATCTCGCTTTCGTGAGATATCACGTGCATCTAACAAACAAATACCTATCAACATACTTTAGGTAATAACAGATAGTAATGCAAATGCTTTGTTTTATTCAAAAACGCATTGTAAATATGCATACATAAAGAAGAAATGCAACGCACCCCACTGTTTGAGTGTCGAAAACTTTCACTGCAAGTTATTGCCTTTCCAGAAATCACAGCCCTGTTCACAAGTCTTTTTCTGCTCAAAAATCAAAAACTAGAGGCTTAAACAGCAGAAGCAAAGATTTATTTCAACAGCAAAAGTAGAAACAGATAGTTTGCAGGGAATATATATGAAAAAAATAGAAAATAAATCGATAAAAATATTACTGGAGTCTTCAACATTGGGCCCCAGGGATAACAAGGGTTGGGACACGCAAGACTTAACCATTTGTTTATGTCAGGAATTTTATTGATGAACAAAAATCACCGTTCACAGGTCTTAATAAAGAAGAAATCGATAAAAAATCTTCAACATTGGGCAATCCCAACAAGGGTTGGGACAAACTAACCATTTGTCTGTGTGAGAAATTTTTAATGAACAAAATTATGGCAGTAAACTTAACAATATTATCAGTGCTGGGTTACTGAACCAAAGTAACGAGTCCCGGGTACAATCCATTCCATTTAGATGTACAGATTATCTTCCCAAAAAGAAGGAAAAACACTGGCTTAGAGAGTCTTCGTTAAATGGCGACTCGAGTGTTAAATATCATCGGCCATTACTTGACAACTTCACCTAGTCATTTAATGGCGACAGAGTCCAAATCTAGTGGACTCTTGAGTACCTCCCTCTTTCAGTCGATGTTCCATTCTTAAATTAATGGAAAACATTACTGGGGTTTGCGAAGGTGTCGCACTCAAAAAATGTGTTTGCACAAACATATAACTAGCACATGTGTTGGGAACACTTACATGTCAACTCAGCAATATTATCAGTGGGGTACAGTTCACTAAACCACAAGTAACGGGTCTCACTTGAGACAGTTAAGGGGTGACTCCGTCAATGACTGAGTGTTAAAGTCCATCACAAGTGCTAGTGCTATTCATTCATTGGCCAATTCTAGTTGAGTAATTGGGATCGAAATCATATTGAAATGCAGCAGAAGAAATGAAGGCATACTATGCTATACAAATTTCAAGATGTTTTCAAAAGAGACAAAATATAACGCCATTTCAATATAATAAGATTAGGCCATATTACATGCTTTTCTGTCCCTATGAAAATTTTATAATAACGGGATTTGGAACTTCATAATATTTGGGAAAGCATGAACTATTAGGTAAGCAAGAGATAGAAGCGTAACATGATATAGCATGTCAGTATCATTGCAGACTCTTTGAGTCTGGCATCCCGTGACTGGGCTGGCTCAAACTGAATAATTTGGTACTCTCGAAGTATGCAAACCAAGATGGCGGACACCGGAATGTAATACGTGTACCAGGTTAGGGTTAAACAATGATTTTAGGTACGAATACAACGGAGGTCACTTGGCTAGTCCCTGAACTCGTAATAGGACTTTAATGGGGAAAAAAATTATGCCTTAACCCTAACCTGGTACACATACTACGTTCCGGTGTCCGCCATCTTGGTTCACATAAGTCGAGAGGACCAATAATTTACTCTATTTAAATCAGGGGGAGGGCGGGGCTGAAAAGCTTTACAACAGACTGAGCTATTTAAAAAAAGCATTCTTCATGTCCGTTTATGCTCCATCAATGATTCGCCAGAGTAGATTGCAAAACAGAGAGATGATTGCTTCAGTGATATTGCTACTTTCCGAACCGCTGTCTCATGTTTGCAAATTTATTTAAAGCGCTAAAATATGTCGGATATGAGATTCCACTCAACGAAGGAAGAGTTCTGAATGAAAAAGAGATAATTGTTAGTAAGGCCGGGCATTTTTGAATACCTGATGATTTCAGAATTAAATCGAATATTTTTTTTCGAGTCCAATCTCGAATACTTGATCCTATGGAAAACATGCATTTCTGTGCACCTTTTTTTATTGTAAAAAGTCCTGTCAACAAATGAATTACTGGAAACATGGAATCCATCACTCGTACAGCCTACATCAGGGGTGGCTAATCTGCTTTCAACTGCGATCGACTAAAATCTTTAAAATACCTCGTGATCGACAATAAGGTCAAACACAGAAACAAATGAAGACCCAACTAAGTTATTAATATTGCAGGTCGCATTTGTTTCACATGGTGATGACTTGGAGGAGGAAACTGTAATTGACCCCCAGTTTCGTGAACCAGGGACGTAGACCGAAATTGTGAATGGGGGGGGGTTAGATCGGGACAGCTAGGGGGTTCAGCCAAACGCCGGGAAATGTGTGTTTTCACGAGTCTTGAGATTCTGAAAAGTGTTTCAAGCAACTAAAAATTGCAATGTATGATACGGGAAGATGCTTTTATTTTTATACATTTTGAAAAAAGGTTGGGGGGGGGGGGTCAACCTCCAAAACCACACCCTGACGTGTACCACCTTTGGACGATGAGTATGGAATGGGTGCTCATTTAGATTCTTTCTCATTCAATATGATAAAGCCTCCTACTCACATGATTTCTGTTAGTCTTGTCTTCCAAGGATCCAGCCCATGTAGGCAGGGATAGGAACTGAAAGATATTGCAAACTCTGGTTCAGGGAGTAAATCTGGAAATGAATAAAACAGGGCTAAAGGTCAGCATACATAACTAGGAGTAGGCAACAAGCTTAGGATGAGCTTTTTAGTGATTAGCTACACGCCCTCACTATGCACCATACTTAGTCCCACCAGCACAATGCAGAGGAATAAATAGTATACAGAATCCCAGACATGCCATGAATACTTAGTGTTCGTAGTAAAAGTGTTAAGCCTATCCATATCGATGTCATTAACGATCTAGACCAGTGGCACCAGGATCGACACATAAACTGATACAGCATTGAATGCGGACCGTCAAAACTAAGATTCATAAATGGGGGTCCGCAGCTCAAAAAGTTTGGAAAACCCTGCCCTACACATCCATTGCTGCTCAAATAAAACTTGCCTCCATAACTTTCATTCATCTTATTCAAATCAATCTCATTTGGGCTCAGCATTCCTTGCTGGACCTGCTGACAAAGTGATCGTGTCACCTCCACTAATCTCTGTCGGCCATATTGAATTGATGACATCATCACATTGAAACCATGGTGATCACCTGAAAAACAAAATGGTTTCTTATAATGCCAATATTCTGATCATTCATGTCATCAAGACGTCGCTTTGTGCATTGCCGGCTAAAAATGGATGACTAATTTTGTTCGCCTATTTTACGTCAAGTTATGTAAAGGGACTGAAACCCATAGGCAGGGGGTATATTCACTTGGCTAACACAGACAGCCCCGAACTCGTAATAGAACTAATTTTAGGAAAATCGGAATAAAATTATGCCTTAACACTAACTTTTACACACACTAACAATTTCATCCAGGATTAAGGTTTTGCGGAAGATGAAAAATTAAAATATATCAGGTCTGATGGGTCATAGTTTTCAATGGAGTCTTGGGGTCGTATTTTGAAATTCCTCAAAGTCGGAGTAAAAATTTTGAATTACCTGATACGACTCAAGTTTACTAAGCGTTTCTAACAGTCTATTTAAAGAAGGCCAACATACAACATAGTTTTGATTATCAGGGTCAACTTTTTTTTAATCCAGAGTCCAAAGTTGGGGCGGGAAGTAAATTCTCCAACTTCACACACACACACACATAATACAAGTTCTGACCTTCAATTAACCTCGAGTCCCGGTGATAATTTATCTTTATTTGATTTTCTTGGAATTCCAATTTCTTCCGCTCACATATTTTCGTCAACTTTTCGAAAGTCGATGGATGAGATAATTCTGTAACATAGAAATGGCTGATTATTCAATTTTTATATAATGCTTTTCCATAATTTTCCTCCATATGAGGCACTGTACAAGAATATACTAATATCTTGTCTCTTGTTCTGTCACTGAAACGAGAGTGTCTAGTCAACTGCAGATGTGTTAGATCGCTTGTCTTGATAATAATTTACCTCAATCGGGACGTGCATAGCCAGTCATATGACCAAAATGGGGTTTTTGCTAGAAGCTTCCGAATCCTGCGATAATTTTTTTTTTCCTTAGCTTATGGAAATTTATCTTAATGTTTTATTTGAGGTCTTTAAATGAGGGGGCTATTCTTAGAATTTGAGAACTGTGCCCTACTGCAGAGTTTCCCAAAAGTTTTGGGCTGCGAGCCCCTATTTAACGAACCCCCATCTTATGCCATATTAAAATCTATGCCTGACTTAAAGAAGATAGATGTTTCATTTATATCACAGCCAAACAAATAACTTTATTGTGATTAATGAGGTCAGGAGATTGCTTTTCATTGCACAATTTATCGATTCTCAGAGCAATTTATGAGAAGCACATAAATTTGAAATAGCTTTCCTTACAGCAAAGAATCATACTCTTTTAATAACGTGCGGACTCCCTGCGAAGTCACCACAGACCCCAAAGACCCCCAGGGTTTGGGAAACCCTGCCCTACTGTATAACGCAGCAGAAACTGCAGTTATACTTAAGGGTGCATATTTCACAACTGTGTCTCAGGCCATTAAGGTTTTGGAAACGTATCTGTTATACTGTTTATTAAGAATTCTATACTGTTACATTTTTATAGCAAATAAACATATAACTCACCAGTTTGTCCATGAATGGTGATGTATGGAATTCCCAGCATAATCGACCATAATATAACATTCCCTAGGTCTTCCAACTCAGATTTCGCTTCAACAACGATCGCTATATGTTTGGGAACCTTTGACAAAAGTTTCGCATCTTCCAGAATTTTGCTTCGGTTAGAATTTCCCAATTTTAATTTCCTGGTTGCGATTCGTATGAAATCGAGCAAAATTATAAGAAAATATTGCGCATAGGATATCCAAGTCAAAGCGACATGCACACCAAGCCATATAACACCTTCATATTTCACAACCAAAGACGTCTCGTTCTCCATCTTTACTGGACTGCTAAACTATAAACCTGTTCTTGCACAAGACACATTTGACGTGTTAATTTTTCAACGCGGCATATGACGTCATATAAATGCAGAATTTTTGGGGGTATAAAATTGTTAAGTTATTTTCAAAAGTAATTTACTCATCTTTAAAAATATTTCTATAAATTTCTGTCTCGAATTATAATTTAGGAAAGAATAATATTGTAATATTTGCTGGAGAAAGTCAATAAGACAGTTCAATGATAAGTATGTCCATGCACGTCATGTCCTCTGGTTACTAGCTTATGTTGGATATGTAAATAGCATATTTTTTTTCTTCAGATGCATAGAATTTAAACCTTCAAGTAGACTTTGGAAATACAATTTTGTTTTCTAAATTCATGATTACCAAATTTAACGGGTCATTGGGCAACGGGTCAAAGTTCAAAGAGCACAAATGATTGACATATTTTCTTGTTTACTCGTCTCGGTTAAGTAAACAAGGCTTCATTGGCAACGGCGTTGATTATTGTCGCAATGTAATTCTACGGTGTTCTGTCGGATTTTATTCCAAATTTTGGATATTATTAGACAGAATGAAATCTACACAAAATCTTTAATTGATACCGCTAGGTAATGCCAGAACAAGAACATTACATCAAGGTGAAAACAACTGTTTGTTTTGTCGTGGTTACAGTCTCTTACACAGAGACATCTTAAATGAGAAAGAATTTGCGTTCAGTGTTGCCAGGTCCAGGGTCATGTTATCAGGTTTAGACGAGATTCCTCAAATCGGGCCATGGGTCCTCGCAGTGGCACGTAAGAAAATAGCTTTGTAGTGATAACTTATATACCAGTATATATTTTTTTTTTCGCTTTAGTTACTTATCGATTTTAATCGGTAAGTAGCCTATGTTGATAGGTACTTGTCTGTCTGTCTGTTAGATGCACGCGATATCTCACGGAAGCGAGATTAAATCTACTCCAGATTTTGCATGTGCATTCATCATATCTCGGACCAGAAGCCTATTGATTTTGGGCGAATTATGTCGTATAATTAGCGAGTTATTGATTAATTAGTGATGTGACATCCCCTAACTTTCGATCGATAAGTCTTCGGTCTCTGACCGATATTCTCGTTTGTCAGTTTGTTGGCTTTTTACTTATTAAATGCTCAAATAAAATAATCATGGCTTAGTATCTACTACTACTCTAGAGTAGTTTTTTATCATGATATTTTATTTCTCTGTAGAATTCCGTCCAATAATTTAAACATGTAGAATAAAAATCCGAAAGAAGCCGATTGTACTGTCATAATTGAAGTATTGTGGATTGATATGGTGATACCATAATGAATGAATCTGGAGACAAGATATCTCAGCCCTTTCCAAACATAAGTGGGAAAGCGTTAGTTGCTCAGCTTCTGACAATAAGCGATGAGTTCTACGAGGAAAAACAGCAAAACGATTCGGATGTACTATGCGGATGGCTATCTAGTGTATCACACAGAAATGAGGAAATCGAAAATTTAAATGCAAACTTGAAAAATAAAAATTTGTTATCAAAGGAAGGTTTCCGTCAATGGAAAGTTTCATCAGTAAGGCCGGATGACAATCCGTATAAAGATACAGAAATAACTTCAAAGACACGAAAGAAACGAGGAAAATATCATCCGAAACGCTTAGAAGAATTATCAGTTCCTCGGAAGATTAGAAATAAAGTCACTTTGCCAAATCGTAGGAAAATGATTTTGCCATTTAATGATCGAAACTCAATGATTGATGATTGTGATCCAAAAATGAAAACAATGTCAAAAGTCGCACTGCAATACGAAGACCCAGATCTCAATGCAAAAGAGAAACGCTACAAGAAGTCAAAATTTAGTCAATTCGCAACAGAAATGTCCCACTCTGCCGGATGGCACAATAATTTTTCAGAACGATCTTTTCAAGAATTGTTGAGTTCGAAGTCGTATTCAGCAGGGTCGTTAAAGTCTCACCATCAAAAGGAGACGCGTTCAATTTTAGTAAAAACTCGAGCAAATGCCGGAATTGATTGGAGTGTGCTCCCAACTGCAACAGAATTAACGACTGATACTTTTTCTGAGGGTTCAATATCGAGTAAAAATCAGAATTTCGAGCTTCCACTCCCCAAAGTCAAACTCAACCTAAATAAGAATAAGCCTCTAAAGAACCCTGGGAGTGTAGATTTTTTAGGAAACTTCAATTTACCCCCGTTACCATTAGCAACAAAAAATAAACGTCCAATCGGTAGCGTGACTGCTATAACTCAAGGTAACATTAAAGCAGGATTCAAGTCGTCTTCTATAAGGAAGATTCATCGCCCCAATCTGCCGCAAACGACTGTTATTTTACCGAAACTCTCCGGTTCGAGAGTTGAGGTTCCCCTTTTACCCCAGAGTCCCGATTTTTTACATCGATTAATATAATTCGTAAGCTGCTAATTCAGGACGAAATTGAATTTCTAATTATTTCAAATATTGAGTTATTCAAGAGTCTTGCTGTACACCAGAAAACATATATTTCTATTAGTGTGCAGCAACATTCTTCAATTACATGAATTGTTATCTTCACTCTTACTACAGCATCCTCGCATTATACCATGCGGCTCACCAGCGCAAAAGAAGGATCCACGAGTTCACGTTATTCCAAATAAATTCTGAAATATTATTTTTAGTGATATTTTCTCTAAATATCTTATCCGAATTTTGACCTTTTGGGCTAACACTGCAACTTGAAGAGTGAAAACTGTACCTCGGTAAAAAAAGGAAAAAATTAGACACTATACTGTACAGGAAATGCTCAAAAGATAACTATACAAAACAATAGTTGAGGCAAGGGTTAAAAAAGCCCTTTTAATTATTATTGGTTTCTCCATTTGAGTGTGTGGCGGTCTGGCAACTGATGTGTTTAAGTTTTCAACAAGAGATTTTATTTTTTGTCAATATCGATTTTTGTTGCCAAAATTAGGCTGTTTCTCCCTAAGTTTTGCTGCTTGAAGTGCCTGTTTTTTACCTGTAAATGCTAAGCCAACTATGATTTTCAACAACAGTGAGAAAATCATGCAGTTCTCGCATAGTAATTCCCCAACAGAATTTAAACCTGTATATCTCAGGATTTAAGCCATCTTATCGACTTTCCTCTCTGGATTAAAAGTCCTTAATCCAAAGTTACATTCACAAAATCACGTCTTCTCAAATGTATAAAACTCACTGCTTATATCTTATGCACATAGTTTTTACACTCAGTGTTATTGGTGCTCCCGAAGCCTTTGCACCAAGATGGTGCACAACCTGAATATAGTATGTGTATCAGGTTAGGGTTCAGGTTGTGCGTCATCTTGGTACACATACTTTCGGAGCACCGTGTTATTGGTGCTACTATACCATGAGGTCCACCACGTTACAGCAGTTTTGGTCACTACTGATTATCACAGTGGTTATCAATTTTTTCATGGCTCGAGGGCCCCCTTCTTATTGGGGAGCTACGGGCCTTTGGTTGGGAACCGCTGGAATTTCACATTCACTTATCTTTATTTGTTTAATTTGTAAATGTCTCTCACATCTGAGGCTGCACTTCAGTAGGCGACAAATCCTAACTGCACTGATAGACCACACGATATAGTAGCACTGTATTATTTTTTATATGACTGATTAAAGTTATGCATTTTTCTTGGCCTTGTGTAGTGTTGTACCATACTTTATTGCTTGAATGAGATTCTCATATTGCAGAATTCTGGCAATGTATTAAAACACCAATTATTCTGCCTATTTTGACAGATTTAATTGAGTAGACCAGGGCTACTCAACTGGCGGACCGCGGTCCGAATCCGGACCTTTCGAGTATTGAATTTGGACCGCACCTAATTATTTATTTTGGATCATTAGCCCCACTTTTTGAATTTCCTATTATAAAATGACTTTCATAGTTTTGAATATATACGAAAAGAAATATAACACCATAATAAACAATTTTAATTTGCTACTAATCATTAGTCGGTCGAGGAAGTGCTTATATAAGGATGCCGAAATATCAGTTCTGGAAAGACCGGACCCAAATAATTTTGAAGTTTTGTTTGCGGACCTTCTATATAATCAGTTGAGTAGACCATTGGTTTCCATCTTCTTTTATGGCATGTGGCTTCCTTCTAATTCCAGTGGTTATAGTGTTGTTTTGATTGGTAGATTCCAAAACCTTCCATTTTGAAGCCAAACCAAAGTATGGTGTCGCACTACACAGGTTATACACCTCTAAGCCATAGTGTGTATTCACAATCTCTACTTTATCAGGTGTGGTCATTCATAAACCATTCCTAAGTGCATGGTTTATCCATGTCCCACATCTGAACACGTTCACTTTTTTAACTCAATAAAGAAATCTTTGCAAAGTGTTTATGTTGATATCACAGAGATCTGGGGTAAAAACACTTGACGCATGGATTTAACAAAATATTTAGCGAGGTACATATGTGAAGTTGCCAACAAGGAATTGTGTTCCGAGCATGCATGTTCTTTATATAGCTATTTTTCAATAAGTGTGCAGGATGGCCAAGTTCAGCGCTTCCCAACCAGGGCACGTGGCCCCCACAGAGCACTTGGATGGGGACCACAATGCTAGGCGCAGCATTGATTTTACTTTTCACTTCACAAGGAAACTCTCAGTTCTTCCTAGTTTCATTGCGTGATAAAGTTATTTCGCAGGGAGTTTTCACATTGTTGAGCATGAATTGTTTGAACATAATGGGATTTGGAATCTACTAATAAAAATACCACTGGAATGATAAACAGGGGGGTCATGACTGCTAAAATCCTTCGGAGCAGAGTAGCTGTCATGGTGGGGTTCACGTAACCCCTGAATATTCACCTTTCACTATCTAGATCCCGATACCCACTATGAACTGGTACCCAGACAAGATGCTGTGTCTCGCCATCTTATTATCTTCTTCTCTCCCACAGGACAATAAGAACTTCACATTCTTCTCCATAAAGCACAAAAGAATATAAAAATCAATTTATTGAAATCACATCTAGTAATACTGATTAAAGAACACACTAGAAAATTCAGAATTGTATCTTTTGGTCAAACAGAACCGTGGAGATGTTAAAAAAACGACTCATGAGTTTGTGTTAACTAAATTTCAAACTTAGACCTAGCGTTGATATGAAAAACTTTATGCAAGCGTTCTTTGGCCATTTGTTGAGGATACCCAGTACATTGACAATCTCTCACCACAGAGTTGCAATTTGTAAGGTTTCGTTAGATCAGGCCATCCGGGCTCTTCAAACTCTTCATCTCCCCTATGGCTCATTAGGGTCACAGACTCACAGTAAAATCTTTTTTTACCCTGACTCATGTTAAAACCAAATATCAATCAAATTTGGCACCAGTTTTGAGACCCACCATCACCGTATCGATCTTTCGTGCAAGAATATCTCAGACAAAACAACATGAAATCTGATCAGTATTTGCTGTCTAATTAAGTTTTGTCTGAAGAAATTAGACTTTAACTAACAAATACTCCTGGTATTTCATGGGAAGAGATTGAAGATCAGAGCATAGTCAAACTTCTTCTGAAGTAGACTAAACTCTGAGAAAGTTAACACAGACTCACTCAGAGGTAAAGGAGGAAAGTTACGCTCACTCACGCAGGAGTAATAAGGAGACTCGTTACTGAAACTTTACAGAATGTACATTATGCGCCAGCCTATCAAAAATAGACTTAAAGCAGCTCAGGTCAATATGAAATGTCAGAAAATCCTAAAAAGCACCAAAACAGAGCGTTAAAAATAATAAAAACTACAAAAATATAATGTGTGTAATAACAGTAAACGCCTGCAGCGATATATACAAATATGAGACTAACTTGGCCCAGAAACACTGTGTTGGTTTGGCACAGGATTTGGTTGAAAAAACAATGATGGCCAAAACAGGATATTATTCTGAATTCACCTTGTGTGTGCATTGAAGCGAAACTGGTCAGGATAATATAAACTATTGTGTGATGAAGCAGAACTGACAGAATAATCTCACCTATTGTGTGTGCTGAAGCATACCTGGTAAAAATAAACTCATTCTGAAGCAATGTTTATGAATATGGAATATCGAAAATATTTTAAATTTGGTCATGTTTAGCAAAGAGCAAATAAAAGACAAACAAATTTACGGCTTTCAGATATTAAACGGAGGGGTTGTGTTATGTTTCAATTGTCCAAACTAATAAAAATAGTGCATATCCCAGGAAGTTTCAGAGCGATTGTACAGGAAATTAAGATAAACGGGAAGTTCAAAATAACATACACCTAAAAATTGGGTGCTCCAGAAGTATGTGCACCAAGATGGCAAACACCGGAAAGTAGTATGTGTACCAAGTTAGGGTTAGGCCATCATTTCATTTCAATTTTTCATATTTTAGTTATGTTACAGGTTCGGTGACTAGCCAAGTGACTCCGTAGTATTTGTACCTAAAATTATGGTCCAACCTGGTACAATACTACGTTCCGGTGCCCGCCATCTTGGTGCACGTACTTCTGGAGTACCAAAAATTGAATATAGCACAAAAAAAAGCTGCTAAAGTTTATCAAAATATTTAAATTTGCCAGGATTAAGGGGGAGGGAAGGCACACAGGAATTAAATGAAAAATATCTTGACCAGAAAGTTTTAGAGTCTCGGAATATTATAATATAAAATATAGAACATTGTACAAAAAGTGAGATAACAGTTCTGTATCAGATTGGGATAAATTATGAGTTATATAATGGGGCACATAGAATAAAACAATAAGAAGAGAATGCCACAGAAAAATCTGGAACCCCTGAATAATATGAACTAAAAATTTAATATTTAACAAAAAAACAGTTTTGAATTAACGGGTATCATTTGTGCGCTCAGGTAAATTCCCTCCCGCAGCAAGTACAAGATTCGTTGGAGCAATCCCTGAAGGTACGGCCATAGAATGTGTGATTGCCGCAGGATAGCTTGCCACTTCTCTCTGCTTGATTAGAAGGCCTGAAAGAGAGGTTGGAGATTCGAATTACATATCTGTTATGAAGAGAGGAAAGCTGATTAGACGGCTTCATCATAGAATAGGATTTTCATATTTATTTTAGAGAAGAAAGACGTAGATAAGAAAGGTTCATCACATGGCCCAGACCACGCCGATTAGGAAAATACTTGTTTCGGAAGCATGAACTTGATGGTGAAGAATCATCACACCATATTTCAGTGTTTCAGTAATAGGTTGGTCAAAATGATTGAAATTACCATTTTATTGTTTAGATTTTAATGCTGGGAGTATATTCTACCAGACACAAGCGTGACCTGGTTCTAACGATATAAAATTATTCAAACATATTAGTGTTTAACTGACCAATATGGAAGCAATTTTCAACCCGCCTTATTGAAGGGCTATAAGGAAAAACCCCATTATCGGTGATAAAAATAGGCCTCGTCTTATTTGACGCTTGGACTTATTTACGGTAAATACGGTATTTATATTTATCCCACATGGGATTTAAACCTGCTCGGGATATTTAAAGTTGCGATGGCAAATGTATTCTTAATAATTCGAGAGGACTTCTATTTGGTAGTTTCAGCTGTCTTTAATTGTCATGGAATTGGGTACAGCCTGTCCTGGATATGTATTTACTTGCGACAAACACTTACCTTGGCGAAGAATTGAGATTTCTTTTAAGATCTGGTCTTGCCTCTCATGCTGTCTGATAATATCTGGGTTCAGCAGGGGGTCACCACCTTCGACCCCTGACCCCACAGCAGGAAGTGGACGATCAGGTCTTTGGACAAATTCTAAAATAAAGGTATTCTATGTGAGATATACATATATGTAGTATGCAATGTTCACAACAGTGTGGTGCGCCCAAAAGGGATTTAATTGATTTATATTCATATATATTATTATATTAATCCTAAAAAATATTCTTTATCTGCCCCACTGCCCGTATTTGGAATTTGTACCAAAACGAAGAAATTCGGAAAGATAAAATAAATAATGATTTGTTCTCTATTTAGAACAGTTTTCATACTGAAGACAGTTTTCATATGTAAAAACTTTTTCCTTATTGTGAAACTTAGATTCACAAAATACCTATTTTCAGAAACTATTTACTCAAATTTTTTACTCAAGAAGTTACAATACATGTGGTACATGTGACCCCCCTGTAAAGCTTCCGACCTGAATGTGCATGCATCGCAGATTACACATCTCAGATCAAATCTCAATCCCCCGCCTCACCCAGGCTGGATTTTCAATGGCTAGAAAAGTGTTTTAGGAGCAAGCCTCAAAAAACTTATATTGTTTACGTTTTTCTTTTCAGTATTTTAAATTTTCAATCAAAAAATTTAGATTTCGGATTCACTTCTTCATTTGTCTTTAGAATCTCGCCGCTGAGGAACGTTAATAACTCTTACCGGATTCACAATTCCATGCGAGTACAAAAATAAAACAATTATGATTGTTACCATGGCACAAATTTGTGATTTAGAGATAATAAACATCAATGTAAAGGCGTTTACGGGCTAAATGCCACCCCACACTGATAAAAGAATGAGGATTTTAGCAAAAGACAATTGCACGTGTTATTGATGACCCAGATCCCCCCCAGGGGCTGCGCCACTGAGGCCAGGGGTTCTCAAACATTTTTAGCCGCACCCCCTTTTTAGAATCTGTCAAGTCAAAAATAACTAGCTAACAATGAGCTACAAATAACAGATAGTAAAGAAAAAGTATGTTTTATTCAAAAAACATGTTGATAATAGGTGGATGGAACGTAAATAATTAAATAAATGTAAATATCCAAAATAGGGCGGACAAGATCAAATCTAACAAATGTTTTTATTTAAACTAGCTTCATGCCCTCTGAAAAAATTATCTACCTCCCCTTGTATGGTGTGCCCTATCGTTTGAGGTCCACTCGTTTATGCGAACCAAGATGGCGGACACCAGAATGTAGTATGTGTACCAGGTTAGGGTTAGCTTCACACACTCTCAAAACATTGTCTACACCTCTCCTTGTATGGCGGGCCCTATCCTTTGAGGAACAACTGGTTGAGTCAGTGCCGGACAAGGAATAAGTTTTTTTATCTAAAATCTTTCAAAAATTGTAGCGCTGTACATACCACTGGCTGTTTATACAAAGACCTGTTCAAAGAGAAAGGCATGAAAAAGCCTTGTATAACAGATATAATGTGATTCCATATCAAATAAAATATCCATGAGTCTAAGCCGGGTCATGCTTGGGTACCCCTGTAGTATGCGTACCAAGATAGTGGACACCGGAACGTAGTATGTGTACCACCTTAGGGTTAGGCCATAATTTTATTCCATTTTTCCTTATTTTAGTTAGAGTTCGATGACTAGCCAAGTGACTCCCGTAGTATTTGTACCTAAAATTATGGCCCAACTCTACCCTGGTACACATACTACGTTACGGTGTCTACCATCTTAGTTCGCATACTACAGGAGTACCCATTTTTGCATAAATTAAACGTTTTTGACATTAAAGGTTACGAAGAGTCATAAGATGAGCCATGTTGAATCATCAGACAACTCATGCTATCATAACATTACCTGCCTACACCGCGATAATTTGTCACACAACGTCATTTTAAAAAACAACATAGAGTGACTAAGATTCATTAATCTATTTATTATCACAAGACAGCAATGGGACTAGAATGTCTAGTGACGAATACGGTTACTGCGTATATCTCGTTACCAAAGTCAGTCATCTAACAAAATTAGCAATAATCACGCTACAGACATTGAGTCATGTTACTTCCTTGTATAACTGTATTTTATTCTAGATTTTAAAAGCCTGTCCAGAGTTGGAAAGACTCGTGTCCGAAAAATTTGCCGCATGAAAAATTGCCGCAAGGCATTTTACTGTAAAACGAGTATTTGTGATAATAATAGTTAGGTTTATAGGGTTGAGTTATGCTCTTAAATAATCTTTTTTAAATAAAAAGGTACTTCAAAATCTTAACTGTTTTATCACAAATACTCGTTTTACAGCAAAATGCTCTTGCGACGTTTTTTCATACGGTGAAATTTCCTGTGGCGAATTTTCCAAGAACCCGCTAGACTTCCTCAGACAAGCCGTTTTTGTGAGCATTAAAGAATAAAATTTGTAAAAGATTGATGCAAGATATATGCAACACTTATATAGCCTATTAACCTCCTGCTCATTTGAGAATTTCTCTCTTGCATTGACATATGATACAGATCCAAGCGCTTATTTTAGCTGTGTGGGATGGCATATCGTACAACTAACAAAAATAAATGAATTGATCAAAGAGAAATAGGATAATAGATCTTGATATCATAAATCTGCATTTTTCGAATTTTTAGGTTACAAAATACCAAAAAAATAGCACGCCTGTAGTGTGTGTACCTGGTTAGGTTTAAGCTATGATTTTATTCCGATTTTCTTTATTTCAGTTCTATTAGAAGTTTGAAGACTGTTTGTGTTGGTCAAGTGAATTTACCCCTTTACAAAACTTGATGTAAAATAGGCGAACAAAATTAGGTACGTGTCCTACCTGTTCGAGATTTCATAGGTCCGGTCTCTGGTCGCGATTCCACTTTACTCGGGTCGAGAACGTCTGTAGTTCTTCGGTATTGTACAAAGTCACTCGTCTCTGGAACGGGGGAATCCCGAGAGTGTTTTTCTTGCCTGAAAAATAGCTCTGTAGGTTTTATATATTTCTTCAAGTTGACTAAGGCTCTAAACAAGAAGTTACCATTTTTTTGAAAGACCAGGCAATTTTTAGGTCTGATATAAATTTATTACACCCTTTTTTATTGGGGGGGTGAGTTGGAAATTTTTTATTCGAAATATGTTGCTCTATAAAATTTACATGCTTCTGAATATGTGTGGTCATATAAAGAGACTGAAACCTATGAGCAGGGGGTATTGGCTACACAAACAGTCCCTCGTAATAAAACTAAAATAAGGAAAATCAAAATATAATCATGCCCTAACCCTAACCTGGTACACATACTATGAGAGTATGCAATTTACCACCGGTGCATTCTAGGTCATATCTGACTTCTAATCACTATTGGGTAACAGTCAAAACTAGAGCCAAAGATTTGAAAAAATTTACTGTTTTGACTCATGAATTTAGGATAATAAATATTATGATTCCCGCTATGATGGGATATGTTACCAGTCCATAATAGACTGATAATTTGAAAACTTAGATAAATGCATTCCAGTTGCTGTAGTTTCTTTTATCAAGATTAAAAATCTTTAATTGTGACTCTGTAAAATTCAGAATTTTGACTGCGGAGAGATTTTTATAATACGACTCCAGCTTCAGTGAAAAACATGTCAAACTTTTCCTACTGCGTGGAGTTTGAAAATACGTTCCAGAGAAAAAACACGACAAACTCACTCAATCACTGGTGAAAACAATTGTTACCCGACTGTACATTTACACCACGGAATTCGCATAAGGGCTGTTGAAGCTTCCACTGATAGCTAACAATATGTTTAAGATGTGGTTGGTATCGCCCTGGTTACACCATGGGTGAGGTGGGGCACATCGAACCCGAGATGTGTAACCTGTTTCCGAGCTCACCTGTATTTCGCTTGCTCAGTGGTCGCATGAATTCCAGATGAAGGTCGATTGCGTACCGTTCCTCGATTAGTTTGCCGAGCTTGAGACTTCTGTTGATGACGTGCAGCTGGTACTACCGGTGATCGTGGACGCTGGTGATCTGGAACATGGTTACGCATCGGTGATTGTGACATCTGTGACCTTTCCGGCTCATTGACTCCGGTGCGTTCTTCCCGCTCTCGTCTCATAACAGCTTCCTTTATTTGTTGACCGGTAGTATATCTTTGTGACGCAGGAACAAAATTTTTATTTTTGTCACCCACCCCCCATTTTGGTCGTTTTTCATTTTTCTTTGGTCGTGGTTGAATAACATTACGTGAATGCTGGTCGTACTGTCGTTCCAAATCTCTCTCATAATTTTGCAGTTTCTGGGACTTCCCCCTCCTATCTCTTTCTTTCTTTTTGGTGTTATTCCTCTGAGGGAGTTGCATATACTCAGTCATATCATCGCTGTCGTATCCATCGTTTAAACGAAGACGTCGTGCATCACTGGTTCTCTCATTTTGATATCGAACATTTCTCTCATTTCCTCGCCGTGCATCACTGATCCTATCGTCTGTTTGCACTGCGGATTCCACCATTTCTCCCTGTTTAATTTGATTTAACGAAATTTCAAACTGTATGGGACCTTTGTCTGTTTGAGCCGTCATCGCCATTGGTGCATGACCATCACCAATAGCAACAGCTTGCCTTGGTGTTACGGTTTCCATTGAAATGACCTCTGTTGGTAAATGTAGATTGGTCAATGACGAGGAAGCCAAAGTAACTTGTGATGTTTGAGCTAAAGGTCGTTCAATAAATTTACGAGTCGTTTCAAGAGTGAGCTGATGAGTTTGCTCCAACCGTGAAGTGTCGTGACCTTTGTTGCGCAATATTTGTTCTCTGCGCGATAATTTATCACGAAGCGCGCTCTCTTGTGCGTCTTTCATTTGCTGATAGAGTTCTTTGGTTTTTTGTTCTCGCATGTTTTCCTGCAACTGCTGACGCCGTTTTTCCAATTCCGTTTGTTGAGCAAGCATGTCGTGCTCCGCCGCTAACCGTCGATCTTCTTCTATTTCATGTTGACGTCGTAAATTTTCCTCTTCTTCTTTTTTGCGCTTGCGTTCTTCAACTTGAGCCTCTATCGCCCTCCGATGTTCCTCCTGCTTCTGACGTTTGAGTTCCAAAGCCTCTATTTGAGCAGGGTCAAGCAAAGAGGTCATAGTTCGAAGGTAACTGCTACGCTGCGGTGCAGAGTTTGTGCCCAAATTCGTCGGCATTGTGCTTCCAAATTCTCTGTTCTCAGACACTTCAATAGAATTGGAGACAGAACCCTCACTTGTTGCTGAAAGTGCGGCAATATTTCCGAAACTCGGGACCGGGGCCGTATTAACATTCTTTGGCAAATTGACTGTTTGGGTATTCAGTGAAATATCAGTTACACTATCGGCGACATTTAAACTACTTCGTACTTCATTTTGTCTAGGAGAAACTTTCGTTGGCAACATGGTATCGAAATGTTTAGACCAGGATTCGTTTTCTTCCGCTCTAAACCGAGCGTTGCGTTCCGAAACTTTTTTCTCTTGCTGTTCGATCCTCTGTTTATCTAACTCCTCACGCCATCTTTGTTGTTCCTCACGTTTCTTGGCACTGAATGCGTGTTCTCTCGGACCGGCCTCACCGAAGAAAAACGATGATCGCATTGCAGCCGGTAAACATTCCTGCGATCTCAGACTTGAATTTGAGTCCGGTTTGTCAGTTTCATAACTTTCATTTGTTAAATTTGAATTTTCCCTGGATTTAGCGTCATTCTTCGTTTTGTTTAAATTTTCTCCTGTATTTTTCTTCCCCTTTTCAGTTGTTTTCTGTTCAGTACTTTTTTTCTTTTTCTCCAATTCACTCTTTCCCTTTTCAGAAGCGTCAGGCTTTTCTCCATTTTTGAGTAGATTCGTCACATTTTCGTCAGCCTTAGTTATATCATCTTTGGAATATTTGCCAGAAGTTGGACGGCTTGAGTTATTTTCATCCTTCCCAGCTGAATTCATGTCGTTTTCATCCTCATTCTTTAGATTTTCAGCATTTTCTTTTTCCTGTTCATCTTTATTCTCCAGTACGTTCGAGATGTCGATCTCATTCTTGCTTTTTACAAGACTCAAAATAGTATTAAGTTGACCTTGGGTCAAGGTCACAAATTTTGTATTGACTTCCTGATCTTTGTTGAATTCTTGACCCTTACTTCCTGGTTTTAGCTTCCTGTTTGTTGGTTGAACTTTGACCCTGTCAGTTGTTTTCTTCAATGGTGGTCTGTCTGTTGTTGTTGTGGGTTTTTCTTTCTGATTTTCACTTGTAGTTGCTGGCGCCTTCTTTCCGCTTTGAACTGAAACAAAAGAGAAATGCTCAAATATATATCGTTTTGCCATGCTTATCTAATAACAGGGAGAATATAAATAAAAAGCTTTACTTAACATATGCAATCTACAATAAAATAGAAAACCAGTTGAATCGCCGTTTATTAAAACCCGTTTAATATACAGTATTTCTATATGTAATGAAAATTTAATATTCCATGTTTGTAAATATTATTTTAGATTCAGAATTAAAGAATAGTCGGTTTCGACAATAACTGTCTACAAGAGAAATAATTTGAACTAAACCTACCTCTTTGGTTCTTCGGCTTTATTTCCTGACTGTTTGAATCAGTTTTTTTCTCTGTTGCAGTATTCGTAATCCTTTTACTCGAATTTTTGGTATTTTCTGTCGCAGTCGTGCGGTTACGGATCGGATATCGGCCATATTTTGTCTTGGTTTTATCCCGGTAATTATTTCCAACGTTTCCAGAATTTAAAAATATTCCTGCAGATGGTTTTCCGTTCACAGTACGAGTCTGTATCACTAATCCACTGCCTATATCCATGTTATTTAAAAATATTATTAATAATCTGAATAAAAAATGCATATAATATATTTGAAATAGAAAAATAAAATTATGAAGAATTGCTATTTTATAGCTTTGCTTAGAATTTTGAACGTTGTTTAAAGCAGGGGCTAAGGAGCAGAAGTTTGGCAAGTCTTTATGATATTAGGAAATGAGCCTGAAGCCAAAGCTCGGTGTGGATTTTTCAATTGTAGAATTGGAGTCGCATTTTAGACTACTCATGGTTGGGTCACCTTGGGTGTCAGGGTCGCAATTTTATTTCTTATGAATTGGAGTTTTAGACTTTTATCAGTGGCGAGTTAAGTGAGAATTATCAACAAAAACTCAAAAATCATGAAAGCGGTTTCAAACATATAATTAAAGAAAACAGGATTTGGTTGGACTCAAAAATTCCTGGGATTAAAAATTACAGACTTCAAATAAAGTCAAAAATGTTATCAATAGTCTATCACAAACGGCTTGCAGGGTGTTAAAAGAGAAACGCAAAATTAACAAAGTTAAGATGAAATGCTACTTGAAATATTTAACAACTGACACCTTTTAACAGTATTGAATTACAGTGAAATGCCATTTAAACATTTCACGATTGACACTTTTCAACAGTTAGTTAGTTACTTTTTTAACATGGCCATGAGAAAATAAATTTATTTTGTATGACTTTTTTAACAACCTGTAGAATTTTTTTTCTAAAAATTATGAATTGGAATAGAGATTTACCTCTATCTGCAGTCGAAATTTATATCAAATATTGCTAAAACAGCTCAAGTTTGTGAGTCTGGGTCGATCGTAAAATAATTTCAAATTCAACATTTCTCCGTCATGAATTCATTTCGGGGATGTATAAAATATTCCAGTACATTATTAAAATTTTTTCATAAACTCAAAAATTTTAAATATACCAGATTATTCCTAAAATCAAAAATTCACCAAATATAATACAAATATTTCACATGTACTCAATAATTTCTTAATTAGGACATCCTATCCAGTTTATCAACTTTGACAGGACAAAAATTTATGAGGCAGTGAGACAAAACAACAGATAAAAGACAATTATGTTGCAGCAATTACAAAACAAAACCAACATTATGGTGTAACAATGACAACTGTACAGAAATATTGTGACATAATATAAACATATATTCATTTGCTCTAACAGATGTTTTTACAAAAAAATTTGCTCCAAGCAAAGTTACGCACACTATCTCAAAAACAAAAAGACCTATCTATGAACAAGGCAAAAGGTGACACCTGAACTACAGAGAGCTAATGAGCCTATACAAGACTATATCCACATTTATTTCATATTTACATTATTTTCAGACATCCTGGTTGGGATTTTAAAATATAAATTGTTTTAAAACTGCAAAGCTTGTTTAATTCTTCAAAATTCAAAACGAAAGAAAGTTTCAAAAAAAAAAAACCTTAAAATAACATTATTTTCAAATTTTGTTCAAAGCAATATTTATACAGACTTTCTTAATATGCACAATAAACATAATATATAAATAAAGGAACAGTCACCAGAAATTAAGTAAAATATAATAAGTGCAAGGTTTGGTGCCAAAGAATTTATAAAGGAACTCATTTGCTACACTTTATACATTATAAGCGCATAGCAGTGCTGGTATTACAGACTACAATCCCATGCCCAGGGTGTGATAAAATGGGTGGTGATGGTTCCGGTTCCATTACATTTGCACCAACGTACATTTGAACCCACAACAATTGCACCTGCATACTATTGCACCAATGGAATTTTTTTTTTACGAATATTTGAACCCATACTAACCCTGACCCATGGATTTTAGCACCCGCATATAGATTGAATCCGCGGATATACGGGTACAAATGTATGGGTTCAAATGTACAGTCACCAATGGTTCCATACCTTGCTTTGGCTTTTTGTACAAGCCTTGCTCTAACCTATAAATTGAGCAGGCAATTCCGAAATGAAAAAATTTCTGACTTTTTAGAAGGCGTAGGATTTAGGATTTACATATTTATCCCAAGGGAGAGGAAGGCTGATAAGATGGCTTAGTCATATGGCGAACCACGGCCTCTCGTCCGGTTACCAGTCCATGTCGGGTATGGGATTAATTAGCTAGTTATTTGTTTTCAAAAGCATGGACTTGATGGTGGACGAAGCCGAAACCGACCAGCGATTACGTGAATCACCCTACGGCGGCGAGGAGTCCAGCAATCCTCTCGCACATAACCATCCCCGCATGGGATTCGAACCTGCGAACCCGCGCAGAGTAATCATGGATGCAGTGGATAGCGTATCCATAATGCTCAGCACTATGCGCCACAGGCATCTTTACATATCGTTAAATATCAGGGGCTGCTTGCATAGGGCCTTGACCGGAGCGAAAGGCATAGGTATCAAATTAAAAAAAGGAACATTGTGAGGAACTTGTTGGCTCATAATAAGAATTTGAGATATTTATTAGACACAATCACACAGCATTGGTCTATGACTCGGACACGAAGTGGGCCAATGAATCATATTTCAATGTGTTGTTGTGGAAAAATCACCTAAATAAATCGTCTACTAATTGGTAACTAAGTAAGTAATATTTACTTAATTTATTCACTTTACTTTATTTATGGTAGTAATTTTAATTTTCAGGGTTATGGTGTTTTAACCACTTGAATAGAATTATAATTTTAGAAATTGATCTGAACATAAAGTGTTGAATGGCAGAGCAATTGCTAGACCACCAGGTGACCATCAGATACCACTAATACCTATTGTACCGGTAAATAAAAATAAAATTCTATTTTCAATTCAAAAAATTCAATTTTCATGCAAAATACCGATGATACATATTGAGCCTATTGTGATTAATGAATGGCAGACCAATAGCTGATTTTAAAAATTGATGTATGTCACAAATATAAACACTAAAACCTATTGTACCGGTAATTGAAGAATGACTTTACAAATTTTTATGCAAAAATATAAAGAATAGAGCTTACAATGATGCTGGGAAACAGTTCAACTCTTAGTTAGGCCCACCAGTTAGAAGGTTAGACTATGTTGGGGTAGCAGATTAAAGATTTAGGTCCAAATCCCATAATTGGGCAAGAGCTGGGAAAATTCAGGTCTGTCTAAAAATAGTAGTTACCGGTACTAGCATATGAATGGCATTTGCTGTAATAGATGTTTTTATAAGAAAATTGCTCAAAGCAAAGTTACGCACACCAGCAAACAGAAAGCCATATCTCCGTGCAAAGTTAGGACGACGCCCCACTATGTCTGATCGAATAGAAACATCTGAATTATAGAGAATTACTGAGATTATAAATGCCATGTTATTTGTACATATGTGCAAAATACATTATGAAAAATCCCTAAGTTTAGAGGCAGTCGGGGGAACTTTAATAATGTAGGATTAAACATAAAAATAATCACAAACGTTGAAAAATAATCAATCTACTTAATCAATAGGTAAGAAGGCATGTTAAGTAAATGATCCTTTAATATGCATATGTTATAGCGGGCGATATATATAAACAGGCAGGTATAATATATTTTATACAGCGTCACCCAAACAAACAGAACCATACGTTTCCTAATTGCTTTTACAAAAATAAAGAAAAAATATTTAACAGTTGAACTGTGTGTAAGATTGCGCCCAAATTAACCTAGAATGCACAAAAGTTCTATCTAGCACAGTGGTTCTCAAACTTTGGGCCTCGCCCCCTTTTCAGAATTTGTTATGTCTCGCGCCCAACCTTAATATTAACTAACTAACAAATAACAGATGGTCAAGTCAAAAGTAGGTTTTATTCGAAAAACAAGTTGGAAATACGTGGATGGAACGTGAATAAAGCGGGTAGGATCGAATCTAACAAATATTTTCATTGTCTATTAGCTACCAACCCCCGTGAAAAATTGTTTACACCCCCCTTGGGGGACAAGCCCCACAGTTTGAACACCACTGATCTAGATGATTTCTGTTCTTTTGGATCACCCTGCATTTCGAAAGCTACACTGCTATCCTAAACATTTTAGATGCTCCAGTATGTGCACCAAGATGTCACACAGCCTGAATCCTAACCGGTACACACCTACCATGTTCAGGTTGTGCGCCATCTTGGTGCATCAGGGTTAATCAGGGCTTTCAAATATAGGGGGCCCCACCCTACAAGAGGCCACACAACAAATTTGGGTGTCGCAAAGTGGACACCAATTTAACATGGAGTACTATATTCATTGTACTTCTTGGAACTGATTCGAAGCACAATTAATAAAACTAATGCAAAACATTAATCTCACAATTTGAAGGGAATACATAGGGTAGGAGAATCAACGTGTATAAGAATACATAACAGGGGCTGCACAAAATTTTAACATATTGGGAGAGGTCGCGAGCTTGAAAGTTTGATAAGCCCTGTGTTAGCCCATATCATTTGCTTTTCACGAGTTGCGCATCTTTCTATTTCTTATTATATTTACATGAATGTCACTCAACACTCCAACCCTAGTCTTGCCAGCATGGCGTCCAACTTCATCAGCTTAGCACAACTCTGCTGCATCTGACCATACGTTGAAGTAGCATCTGTAATGTGGTGCCTGCAATATGAAAAGTAACTGTTCAATAACGACCAAGTTCGTGAATATTTGTTTATAAGGAGATTCGCTCAAAGCGAGGTCACATGCTCTCAGTTGAAATTAAAGGACCAAAGTTACGGGTGATAATTGAAGTGTCAAATGCTACGGGATATATTACAATTTATTACCCCACTAAGCCAGGGTGTTTTGGGTCAGACTGGGTCCTCATCTTCTAAAGATCTACGGACTGGCCCTGATCATTATAAGCAACCAGACAGTGTGTGAGATTTCCTTTCATAAAGATGTAGAACAGTGATTCTTAAACAGTAGGACATGTCCCACAAGAGGGCCAAGGATTTGTTTTTGTGGGAGCGTGAAGCTTATTAAAAATAAATAGATTTCATCTTGCTCGCCTCATTTGGGGTATTTTGGACATTACGTTCCATCCACGTATTTTGGAATAAAACATACTTTGGCCTCACTATCTGTTATTTGTACCTTATTGTTATTTTTAAGGCGGGACACAAGACAAATTCTAGAAAAGGGGGCGTGGCTTGAAAGTTCGAGAACCAATGATATAGAATAATCTAACCTTATTTCATCAATGAGAGGTATCGAGTCTGTCTCTTCTCTGCACTGAACCAAATTAGCTTCCTCCACCACCAATTCAATGAACTCTTCCGATTCCACTAATGATTCAAGTTCAATTGCCATGAACTCCACGCAATAATCTTCTAAATTTAGTAGATTGAACATCTGTGAGCATCGATACATGTCTACGATATTATTTTCCGTCATATGTTGAGATAGTACGTTCCCGCACTTGCGTTTCAAACCAGTTAAAAGCATCATGTCAGCTACTGGAAGCACATCCATGGCATCATTTAAAGAGTGAAAATCACAGATCTCAGAGTAAATATAAATGATGATATTTTTGAAGATTTCCGGCGTTAGATGGCAAAGTTTGATTATCGGACACGATGCCGATGTACTCGATTTGTTCTCCTGAAAATGATCAGTCAAAAGAGCTTTGAAATAATCGCTACGTCCGCATAAGAAAACCTTATGGCAGTTGAATATTTCTCCTTCCACTTCAACACATACATCAGGATAAAACGAAGGCCTTTTATCATATTCTGGAAATGGGAGAACCTCAATCCAACTTCGTAATCGGCTTGGAAGTGTAGATTCTGCAAGATAACGCAAATCGGTTGCCAAGCGCGCAAAACTTGTTTCACTCTCTACTGTCACGATTTTCACTCTACAACTCATGTTCGGCTTCAGGCGAAACAATTCTGACATTCTGGTATCGGCAGAGAGAATCTCTTCGGACAAATGTTGTAAATTGCAATAATGCGCAAGCCGTTTCACGTCATCGACTATTTCTCGTTTTATATCGACCCTCCCGAGATATAAAAATTGTAGAATTGCGTGGAAAGCATCTGAGGTGACTTTTTCATGCTTCAGCGCAACTGTTGAACGATTTTTCCAATGTGTGGAAAGTGCTTCCGAGAAAAAATGGGACCGTGCTGCGATTACACAGCGATGAGCATTTATTTCAACACCATGAACATTGAATAAAATATCTTTGCACAATTTTTCTTCCTCGAGCATATGCCTCAGTAATTCATAATGCCGATCTCGTTTTTTTCCGGTGGAATGAATTTGCTTCCAATTCCGTAATAGATTCCGAATGTCATTTGTTAACGCCCCATACAGACATCTTTCCCCGTCAAACGTACTGGCTTCACATTTTGAACCATTCTGGAGAAGGTATTCCACGATTTCTCTGTGACCACATAGGCAAGCATAATACAAGGGGGTGCTGTCCCAACCATCCCTCACGTTTAAGTCAATATCTTTAACTTCTACGATGTGTTTTAATTCACTCAAATTTCCTTCCTTGCAATGTAGAAAGAGTGATCTTTGAGCCGACATCCTGAATATCCATGTAAATGTTCCCAATAATTAATTTTATTAAATCTTACATTAAGACTAAAAAACAATTGGAATAGAGTATGGCACAGCTCTACGATTCCAAGATTGTGTCTAGATATTTTTTAGTTTATTGTGCAACTCAGAATTGTTGTCTTTGTCAATACAGCAATATTATTACTGATTCAAATTCTACAGTCTGACAGCACAACAATACAATTTTATTTCGATTACAGTAAAAGCAAAGGGGTCTGGTATAGTTTAGTACCACATCCACTTCTAGTTGGCCTGGCTCAACAATTTTTGCATATGTCAATCTTAACCCCCACCTGACTACGTCACCGAAAAATTACGTCATTCCAACTTACGTCACAGTGGCGTAATAAGGCTCACCAAAGTATGCGGAAGGTAGTCCAAAACGTGCAGATGATAACCCGAAATCGAGCAAGCTATTTCTCTCGTTTTCTCGTCGCAACGATCACGATAGGAGAGAGATCGCCGGCTTTAGCAAGTTCTTATCGGCGGCGCAGATGCCATTTCGGGCGATCGTAATTATACTTTGGCAATCCCTATGACGTGATGGTGACGTAATTTTTTGAAGGCATAGTCAGGTGAGGGTTAGGAATAACATATGCAAAAATCGTTATGCTACGCCCACTGGAAGTACTTGTGGTACTAAACTATACTAGACCCAAGCAAAGTACCTAACAGCATACATACATTTTAACACATCTAAGATTCGTTATAAATTCTGACTGTTTGTCGACAGTCAGACAGTGTGAGTGTCATTTAGTTTAGGGGTCCGCAAGATTGTCTCCCGATATTTTGTCTGTCAACTGTTGTCCTTGTCAATATGGGATTAATAAGGATATAGCTAAAAGATGATATTTATTCAATTACATATTCAACTGGTAAAATATTTTCATAACCAAACTGGAGTGATAACCATGATTTGCCTATAAATCATGATTTCAAACAGTCTAACCTTTCCACCATAGCTGCCCAACACGTACTTCTGTACTTTAATACTGGTCGGACGGGAAAATGTTATACCAACAGTTAAGCCTGTGACCAAAATACTCCATAGCACTATATTTTATACTAACCAATTTCATTCAGGCCTTTTTCGTAAAGTCCAAAAACCCAAAGCCGCCATCACAACTGCCACTACCGTAGCTTTGTTTTGATCTCTGTTGCCGTTTTCAGAAACAAAACAATAGAGATGAGAAGCGCCATCGTGTGGAGACCTTGGTTAATATTTTTTTATACCGGGACAAATGTAGTCAGTACTTTTCACCATACCAATGACATTAAACAACATGATGCGCAACTCCGGCATTTTTGGCCGAAGATCGTATTCGATAACACGCTCCAATGCACATACTTTACGAGACGAGAACGAGCGGATGTGTGCTGTTTTCAAGGCATAGCACGAATGGTGTTCGTGCCTGCTTTGACAGTTGTTGTCGATTTTAATGATATTTTGGAAAGTTGAGTTAAAAAAAAATCAGAAAAAGGTAAGGTAAATACTATTGTTGTATATCACACCCGGGCATCGCACTGTTAGGTGCATGTGGGAAAGCCAGCTTTTTCAAATACTACAAAGTTATTAAATCAGTACGGTACGTAGTTGCCCATTTGCCGAAATTGCATATTTACTTACCCCTTATGGTTTCAAATAGTTCATGTACCTCCATTTAGATTTTTCTAACCAATGGGGATATTTACGTATTGCTGTAACATACTATTGCTCAATCACTTTTATTTGCGTATTGATTCAAAGGGTTAACAAGTTCACCTAACATTTCACCCATTCCGGTCTATATTGTATAGTATGATATCTCAAGTATATGAAGCCACGAATGCCTGTAATTTTTGGACTAAACCCCTTCATTAGTTGGTTTATATACCAAATTCAGTAAAACATTTTTTACACTTAACATGAGATATTGGATTTATTAACTTTTCCATTTTAAATCATATAGACTGCTTTAAATATTCTTGACGAAAATTAATAAATCTCCTCTCTTTCTTCAGATGTGAATGTTGTGGACAAATCTGTATAAGCATTGTGAGATTCCTGTAGCACAAGAGGCAATAGCAAAAATAGTAAGAATATCAATCAAGAAATTAAGTCGACATAGAGCAAAACTTTCAACTATTCGTCTAACTTCAATTTCCCATTATTTATTCACAGGACAACTGTAGTAGACGGGGAGATATCAGAAGTCTGGCGAAATATAAGTGACAGTGTGATTGCAAGAAATACAATTAGAGTACTCCATGAGTGTTTGCAATAGAAGAACAACCTATGGAGGCATGCAAAGACATTTGACCCTCCGGTAGAGTTGTGTATGGGTCTTATTTGTAAAAAGGCGCAAAACACGCCAGACATACTGAAAACAGCTTTGGAAATGTAGACTATGGGTCACTCACTACACCATGTTAGAATTGGTTCCATAAAATTTTGGTAGTACTATTGGTAGTACTATTCAGGGAAGGGTATAATCATGATTCATGATAAAATACTGTTCAATAATTTGGACAACTTCAATATAGACCAGGGATGTCGAGTCGTTACTATAAAATCATTTCAGCCTGGCCTTAGTATGCTGGTGACACAAAAAAGTTGTCAAACGTCAGGACAAATGTAATTGAGTAAACATTGAGTTTATACTACGGTATTTTTGTTAATTTTAGGTCCATATATTTAGATTAAGTCATTCTTAGTGTATGTATCATTCTTTTCTTATCCAAAGCTTGTTCAAAAATGATTTTGATGGTTGTTCATAGAATTTTATGATTTTTTTGTAATAAATACAGTAACTTGCAATAATAGTGGAATGCAAATATTAATATTTAATTGCATTTGAAATTAGAGAAAATAATAGAACTTAATCCAACTGTTTAATTGCATCACAATATATGTCACAAACTAAAACTATCTTAAAAATATCTTTTAAGTATACATTATCAAAAACTGTTTGCGGCCCTTTTTACAATTTCCGAAATGCGATGCGGCATATGGTATGACTTGTATTTGCTGTCGCGATGTATTATCTCAATGTGTCAAACTTTTAATTAGTGTGCATATTTTGCTTCCAGGTGACATGAACGTATTGTCTTGTTTATTACCTCAGCTTGGAGTATTGACAAGAAAAAGGTGCCAGTAAATTACGTAAAAAATTTTATAACTCTTTGTTATAATCTGAATTCACAATTAATGGGAAATATAAACAGCCAACAATCAATGAGAACTATATGCAAAATTCCTCAGATTAAATTTGTCTTCTAAAATCGGAGGAAGGCAAAAGATATGGGTAGTTTCCATTCATACAAGTCTTTCAAGAAGACTTGCTCGAGTCAAACTAAATGAGCATCATCAGGTGATCGGTAAGGCTGCAAGTTGAATTCAGCCCTGCAACCTCCTGCATAGACGATAATATTAATTAGTGGGCTATGAGCTAAATTCCTAAATTTAGACGCAAACATATCTACGAGGCATTATGTACTATCAATGTTAATTACGATAAAATGAATATGTAATATGTCTAATAAACTCACCTACTAAAGCAAATTCGATGGGTGCAAACTTTGTGTTATGGAATTGTATCACAGCACCGTTAAGAGAAGTATAAACAGTCTTGCTGTTTTGTAAGAAACCCTCTTTGAATAAAATTTCAATGTTTAAGTACAAACATTAAAACTAGTAATCTTGAACTTTGTCATTATCTGCAAAATGTTCCACACAAATCTTTACACTATCGCGTTTGTAATCTTCTCTGATAATATAAAAACGTCTATGATGTCCAGAATTACTCTGCTTAGCTTGTCTGCCATTCCAGCTTTCCAAGTGAGCAAAACTTCTTAGATTTAATGATTATTTTCTTTCGTCACAGGCGCAAAAAGGCAGATACTACACGTAAAGAAGTCGCCGAGTAGCAAAAGCGAATGGGAAACGGTCTCGAAAGGCGACGATAACTATGTGCATTGAGGCGTATCATGAAATACAATCTTTCGCGTGTAGTCTTATGGAGTGACGTCAGAGTTGCCCATCATGTTGTTAAATGTCATTGACCATACTGACGAAAATACACAATGTACGAACAAGATTAATTGAAAGGACAAACGCATAGCATTTGCAGAGTACCAATACTGTGAACCTGCACCTCCGTCGATGAGACGACGGTCATCAGGTCTTTCCCGCGTTCTTCAGTCTCTCGCTGCTCTCTCTTTGCCATGCTTTTAGGATAGGATAGGATTTACATATTTATCCCGGGGGAGAGGAAAGCCGATAAGACGGCTTATCCATATGGCGAACCACGGCCTCTCGTCCGGTTACCATTCCAGGTCGGGTATGGGATTAGTTTTACTGTATTGTTTGTTTTCGGAAGCATGGACTTGGTGGTGGAGGAAGCCGTAACCGACCGGCGGTTACGTGAACCACCCAACGACGGCGAGGAGTCCAGCAATCCTCTCGCACATAACCATCCCTGCATGGGATTCGAACCTGCGAACCCACGCAGAGTAATTAGAGGTACGGTGGCGAGCGTATTCCTAACGCTTAGCCCGTTGAGCCACACCGCCGCGCCTTTCTCCTCAGCCGTGTCCGAGCCTTTCCGGCCAACTGCTTTCCTGCGCATGGCCCTCCTGTCTGCCCCTACTGGATGACCCCGCTCATATTTTTTTGCCCTGTTTCCCTCTCAGATTCACGGTGCTCTCGCTGCTCTAGTCCAGCCCTTCTGCCTGCTCCCTAGTTAATTCCGTAAAACGACTACCTGTCTTCTTTGACTGGCGTTTTCCCTTTCACGTACCCTCACGGTGCTCTCGCTGCTCTAGTCCAGCCCTTCTGCCTGCTCCCTAGTTAATTCCGTAAAACGACTACCTGTCTTCTTTGACTGGCGTTTTCCCTTTCACGTACCGGTACGTACTGCCACTGCAGCTCACGCAACCCTGGGGAGATTCGAACCCAAACCCCATACATTACCAAAACTCCACGCTTCCCCTGAGCCACGTCCACTGACGAAAAACGTCGAGTTTAAAATCTTAATTGCTCAGATTTCTATCATCGTCACACTTGGCTACCCCCCGAATGAGGATGATTACCTCTCAACAACAATGCATCAGTATGTTGCGTTGGTTCGAAGCATTTATGGGTAGGCTCACCATATTTTTTTGACTTTAACGGGACGCCTGCAAGGACACGACCCCTGAGCTGTGATCCTGTAACTTTACAGTTTCCAATTTTACTACATA